CTCAGGAGGGCAAGACCGAGGGTTCGAACGCCCCTCAGTCTGCTGCACTTCCTCCGACAGGAGCGTCATCAACCGGTCCTCCGGCGCCCGCTGCCCCAGACTCTTCACTTCCTGCGGTAGCTCCTGCAGCACTCCGCGTCGTCGCTGAATCCGCGGAGATGGCTCCTGCTGCTCCTCCTGCCCCAGCTGGTGGTCTACCACCACTCACCGAAGCTCGCAAAATTCAAAACTGCGTTCGAGATTACGTGGCCTGGCGTCGCTTTCTACACCTGCTCTCTCTTAAGGAAAGTGTGGCTAAGATTGTGTTGGTACAAGCGCATGTTCGTGGGTAACCGAGGTCGACGAGAATTTCGAACTTGGTGCTTTACTGCAAATTTTGCAGCTCGACGAATTCAAAAATTCTATCGACCACACTACATTTTTCGACAAAAAAATCGCAATTACAACGCTCGTGAAATTCAGCGAGTGTACCGTGGGTATCTTGGTCGTCAAAGATACCACCAACTTATCTACGAACGCAAACTTAAATGTGGAGGTAAAATTTGGCAATGGTATCGAAAATGCCTCAATTATCGAGAATTTCAAGCTCGATCTCGATGGCTAGTCAAGAAAATCTACAGCATTCAAGGCCAATGGCGCAAGTACAAACGTCGACAGAATTTCACCAAATACATGGCCTATTATCGCAATGCAGCTATCAAGATCCAGAGTGTGTGGAGGCAGAAATTGGCGATCAATCACGTGTCTTCCATGCGCTTAGAAATGAACGCTGCGGCGCTCACAATCCAGCGAGTTTTCCGAGGACATTTGGCTCGAATACGCGTCGCTTTTTACCGAACAATTGCCACAAATACCGCAATTGTGATTCAGTCACAATGGAGACGATGCCGGGCACGAAAGTTGTACTTGTATCGACGAAATTTGATTTTTCTCACTCAGAAAATGATCCGATATGCTCGAGTTGTGAGGAGACTAAGAGAAATCGTCAGTCAAGCTGTAGCCAAGCACCACAACGAGGCTGCTTTGCACATCCAACGCTGTTTCCGCGGCATGATTGGACGAAAACGTGCACTGTTGTTTCGTAAAATTCGCAATGCGAAATATGCACGGAAAGGTCAAAATGCGACGCAAGCTTTACTTCGACGAAAATTCATCAGCAAAGGAGCTGCACTCTGTATTCAACACTGGATTCGCAGTGTAAACGCTCGTCGAAGAATGCTGAAAATCAAGAAATGGAGATATTTTCTAGCGGTGCAGTGCATCCAACGCTACATGAAGGCGTGGATAAAAAAAATGCGATTAAGTTGCAAGCGAGAAGTTAAAATTCACGCCGTTGCTGAAATTCAACGTGTGTTTCGTGGACATCAAGGTCGTGTGTATTATAAGGCAGAAAGACGTCGCCAACGTTATCTTGAGGCTGCAATACTGATTCAAAGAATATATCGAGGTCGACTTGGACGCAAACGCTACGCTCGGATTTTTCAGGCCAAGTCCAGTGCAGCCTCGAAACTTCAGAATATTTATCGATCTCGACAAGCTAGAAAATTATTTGAAATCGGTAGAGCTGCGGCTGCCCTCAAGGCCAAAGAGCAACACGATCGCTCTTTGCTGGGCAGACTGGAAGCTCGACGTAACCCGATGGACGAGCTTTATCGTCGAGCTAAACTGGAACTAGAGAAGGAAATTTTAACGCAACTTAAGGAAAAATACGAAGCACATCGAACTCTAGAAGAACGAGCAGTCCGGAAGCTAAAACGAGAATGTAGCCACGTCTGGACGACCGCGGACGAGATCATCAGTAACCAGTACGCAGTTCGACGGAAACTTTACGGAGTTACAGAAAATGTGTACGCTACGCATCGAGAGCTCGAACAACGTAAAAAACTGCATTTTTCGCTGGAAAAAGAATTAAACGAGCTAAAAACTCACGTACGGGACTTTAAACGAGCGATGCAGGAAGCGGTGACCAGCCGACGGATGCTCGAAGGCTGCGAAGTGTTCGATCTATTGAAAGAACAAGGACTTTTTCTCGACCCAGAGTCGAACCAACGTGACTAAAAAAATAACTTTTTCGTTCTTTCAAGTATTTTTTTTCAATTTTGTAAGAAAAAACAAGTCTTGCCTCTTGCAAAACTTAACTTCGGGAAATCGCTTACTTTCGCAGTAAATTCCCGAGAACAACACCCGCAGCCACACCCACAGCTCCGACGGTCGAGTACAGCGCCAAGTGGTCCATCGTGGCAAACTTGCGCTGCACACGTTCACGTTGGACGATGTTGCCCAGCAAGCTGTTGTTGTACGTCTGCAGCAGCTGATACGCGTAGTAGTGCGCGCCTCGTTCGCCCAGATCTTCCGTAAGTACGAGGTAGATCGGGATGGCCTTCAGCGCCGGACTCACCCGTCCCTTGTTAAAACACGCCTTAAGGAAAATGTCCCTCTGGGTGAAATAGTCCAAGTTCTTGGGTGCTAAGCCGCCGGTGATGTAAAATCCACCACGAGGTAGATATTTCAGCATGGCACATCCAGCTTCGCGTCCATAAGCACTAAAAAAAATATTAGCTACTAAGAAAAAAATAAAAAACCAAAAAAATATACGTACTCGACGAAGATCTCCATGGCTTGGTTACATAGCTCGTTCGTCTTGGCATTGTCGCCCACAATCTTCCCTTGAAGCGACTTGGCGCGCACGAAGGCGTCGTGCACCTTCTTGTCCACTTTGTCGGGAAATTTCTTGGCCAGAAACTTGTAAATTGTGGCCAATCCAGGGCCACTGACAATGCGCTCGACCGAGAAACGTCGGCTGCAGCCCAGTTCCTCTTTAATGGAATTGTATAGCTCGATTTCTATCTCGTCGGCGGGGGCGAAATCTGTGTGGCCTCCTTCACAGGCGTAGCACGAGTACTCGCCGTGTTTATCGGCGGTGAGATAGCACTCCCCCAGACCCGTCCCTGCTCCAATTGTGGCTATAGGCATCCCTTCTTCCTTCTCAGCCTCATTGAGTACAATGTACTCATGGGGCTTCAGAGTGAGGAGCCCGTACCCCATTGCAGCAAAGTCGTTGATGAGCTTCACTGTGGTGATCCCAAGCTCTTTTTCCAAACCAGGACCGTCGATTTTCCAGCCATCTTTGATGTTGGTAAATCTGTAAAAAAAAATAGAGTTACAGTCATTTCTAAATGGTCAGATACCCTAATTGGTCAATTTTGGACCGACGTACTCGACGGTGTTGTTTAGGATCGGACCGGCGCAGGCCAGAACGCAAGCCACGGGGAGTCTCTCTCGCATCCTGGCCTCCTTCATGAAGAGGTGGCAGACCTCTGAGAAGCTCCCGTAATTCTCGTTGTGGTACTTCCTGGCGAACGTGATCTCACCGGGGGCGACGGAGCCGGTGAAGGCAACAGAGCCCCTGGGGATGAGCCATAGCGTCAGCCGCGTGTTGGTGCCGCCGCAGTCTCCAGAGATAATGAGGTCACCTCTAATGCAAATAGAGTTAGAATAGGTGGGGGAGGGTTAGAAATGAGGGAGCTTGGACATACGACATGAGAGACGCTTGACTTGAGAGAAGATTCGAAAAATGAAAAGCTTTTCACTTGCCCGCTTCAAGATATTATTAGAGCAACATTGAAGCAACATGAAGGATACGGTGCCCAGAATCAGCTACAAAGTTGCGTATCGCACTGTAGCCATTATCAGATCAAGTGATTGACTTCCTTGGCAAGTGCAAAATCTGCCACCCGTTGTAAGTTGCAGAAGCTCTAATCTACGATTAAGTCGGAGCAGATGACAACAGGTATTAATATCCACTTGGACAATGGCTGGTGTTGGATTGTTGCCTTGCATAGGCATGTTACCGGTATGCTCGGATGTGACAGCACGCCGCCGCAAATATTGAGCCAGCTACCGATAAACGGCACCGATTATATTATAATACTTGAACGAAAAAGAACAAGCGAAGAGGATCGAACTAATACGAAAGAAGATTTCTTACAAAATGAAGTTACTCTGGCAACTCCGAACGCTACTCGCACTGTCGACCTACACGTGGAGATAGTCCACGACAACAGCCACGTCTACACCTCAGCAGCACTTGCTCGCGATGCGACAAGAGCCTACGCGCTCGAGTGCAAGAGCTGGTACGCGTAGAAGTGGGCACCACGCTCACCAAGCTCCTCGGTAAGCACCAGGTAGATGGGGCAAGCCTTCAGAGCAGGGCTCACACGACCCTTGTCAAACAGAGACTTAAGGAAAATGTCCTTCTTAGTGAAGTAGTCCAGGTTCTTAGGAGCGAGACCACCAGTGATGTAGAAGCCACCACGAGGCAGATACTTCAGCATCGCGTTACCAGCCTCACGGCCGTACGCACCCACGAAGATCTCCAGAGTCTGGTTGCACAGCTCGTTCGTCTTGGCATTCTCGCCAATCACCTTGCCCTGTTGCGTGTTGGCCTTGAGGAATTCCTCGTGCACCTTCGGGTCCACCTTCTCAGGGAACTTCTTGGCCAAGAACTCGTAGATCGTCGCCAGACCAGGGCCAGACACAATACGCTCCACCGAGAAACGCTGACTGCAGCCCAGTTTGGCTTTGATCTCATTGTACAGTTCGATCTCGATCTCATCCGCAGGGGCGAAGTCAGTGTGGCCACCTTCACAGGCGAAGCACGAGTACTGACCGTCGTTGCCAGGAGTCAAGAAGCACTCTCCAAGACCGGTACCAGCTCCAATGGTAGCCATAGGCGCGGTCTCGTCCTTAGGAGCGTCGTTTAGGACAATGTACTCGTGCGGACGCAGTGTCAACAGACCGTAGCCCATGGCGGCAAAGTCGTTGATTAGTTGGACTTGCTTAATGCCAAGCTCCTTCTCGAGACTTGCACCGTCGATCTTCCATCCGAACTCGACGTTGGTGAAGTCCACCGTGTTGTTGAGGATAGGGCCGGCACAAGCGAGGACACAAGCCTCCGGCACGTGGTCAGTGAGCTTGGCCTCGTTCATGAAGAGGTGGCACACTTCGTTGAACGAAGCGTGGTCCTCGTTGAGGTATTTCTTGGCGAAAATAACATCACCCGGGGCAATGTTGCCCTTGAGCTGGGTGGCGCCGGTGGGGATCTTCCACAGCGACAGACGCGTGTTGGTGCCACCGCAGTCGCCGGAGATGATGAGGCTGTAGTCAGACATGATGCTGGAAGAGGAGTACTTGTACTGGGAGACGGGAGATTCCGGAATGACCAGAGGTTGGGACTGCGGATCTTACATGTAGTTGCCGACGTGGCAACTGGCACGGCTTTGGTCTTGAAGTTGCTGTCTTATGAGCGTTTTCTGTCTCACAAAGTCTGAACTTTCACAATCGATTGATTTATCTTGACGGGAGTATGCCTTATAAATGTCAAGACGATTTTAGAACTGCGTGCCCATGCACCAAAAAGTGAGATGGCTTCGAAATCAATCGACAGTATTTAAGACCAATCAACAGTTGCGTGTCAAGCTGCAGGCCTGTGTCCTTGCTTCTTGTTCGCCGTTCTCCCCTATGATTGCTGCTACTAATGTCATTACTGTAATGAGCTTTCTGGCGGCTGGAAACGAATGGGATGGAGTGCTTTTGATGCTCCTGCCCGCGTGCGTGACGTCAGTCCATTCACTTGATTCCAGTAAAGAGCTGCTTCAACCCGTGCATAGAACAGGGTCGGCTGCTTGGGGTCTGTAAATCGAAGCAGACATCGACGCTCGAGCCCGCAAAGTTGCCTTTCACTTATTAATAACCAGGGTTCTTTTCACCATCCACCTGAAGGCACTTGATACAATGTTGCATGGACTCGGCAACTTGGAATGGGACCTTGCATATCAGCGGCAATTTCGTCGACTTCAACTTTAGCAACTTAGTGCAAGTTGCACGTGTTTTGTAGTGCACGTTGCACCCGGTGCAGACGAGATTCTTGTTACAAGACAGTGTCTTGAAGACACAACAAACGTTTATTATCAATCACAGAAGTTGCCGGTTCTGTAGAGCATCTTATGGTAGAGCTCACCATGTGCATGTACCAAGTAGTACCACTGCAACGCCTAGGCATCGGTCAGCAACTGGTACGCGTAATAATGGGCCCCACGTTCACCCAGGTCCTCGTTCAGGACCAGATAGATCGGACAGACTCACTCGGCCCTTGTCGAACACAGAGTTGAGGAAAATGTCCTTCTTGGTGAAGTAGTCCAGGTTCTTAGGAGCAAGACCAGGCATTCCGAAATAATCATTGTATTGCTGCTTCAATACAATAGTTTACACTTAATTATTGATCTTTACAAATTGGATGACTCTTTCCAATTAGTTATTTTTGTATTTACAACAAAGTACTTTATTTTTTCGTAAAATCTAGTTTTTTCTGCTTTGTTTTGCGTAAATACGGAGCTCGGTCGCTCAAAACGCGAACCTGAGGCGCTCGTCTATCATTTTTGATCTTACCATGGCTCTCGCCAACACCTTCACGACCAAGCAAGTCTGCAGCTACTTTTTTACTGCCAGCTTGGCGACTTCCAGTCGGCCACCATGAAGCTTCAAGACGACAACGTAACGCTTCTCGATGTGCGCGATATCTTTGATGCGCTCATCGAGAAGCATTCCGTTGTGAAAAAGTATCTTGCTGCCGACGCAAATATTGTTAAGGACGTGGACTTCGAGCGAGCGTGCGCTGTAGCCCTGTCAGGCGCCGTGGACGAGCTGACGAACGACCAGGAGCTGATGTTGCAGCCATTTGAGACGGTACCCGCAATTACGACACCGGACACCAGGCACGGACGCCCACAGGGCTTTGCCGACAGAGTCTTGGCGACTAGAAAAAAGCGGCGCGGTGCAAAGAAGGTATTTGATGGTGTGCTTTTCATCCCGCCGACGTCAAACACCGTGGAGCGTCTTTTTAGTGTGGCGAAACATACTCTTTCCCACCATCGCCAGCGTATGCTGCCTATTCACCTTGAAACCGTGTTGTTCCTGAAGATGAATCGGCCTTTCTGGGACGCAAACACTGTAGCGGCTATCGTGAACGCAAAGTAATGTGCAGTGCTGTACATCTAAGTAGTTAATTTTCCAATACACTACTATTGATGTCAATTATTTATTTCTTAAGTTGTAGTTTTTGTAGCAATAGCTTATTTTGGCATGGACCTTCAATATGATTGCAATTGTATTATCGGAATGCCTGAGCAAGACCACCAGTGATGTAGAAGCCACCACGAGGCAGATACTTCAGCATCGCGTTACCCGCCTCACGGCCGTACGCTCCCACGAAGATCTCCAGAGTCTGGTTGCACAGCTCGTTCGTCTTGGCATTCTCGCCAATCACCTTGCCCTGTTGCGTGTTGGCCTGGAGGAATTCCTCGTGCACCTTCGGGTCCACCTTCTCAGGGAACTTCTTGGCCAAGAACTCGTAGACCAGGGCCAGACACAATACGCTCCACCGAGAAACGCTGACTGCAACCCATTTTGGCCTTGATCTCATCGTACAGTTCGATCTCGATCTCATCCGCAGGGGCGAAGTCAGTGTGGCCACCTTCACAGGCGACGCACGAGTACTGACCGTCGTTGCCAGGAGTCAAGAAGCATTCGCCAAGTCCGGTACCAGCTCCAATGGTAGCCATAGGAGCCGTCTCATCTTTAGGGACGTCGTTGAGGACAATGTACTCATGAGGACGCAGGGTCAGTAGACCGTAGCCCATTGCAGCAAAGTCGTTGATGAGTCGCACCTTCTTGATGCCCAACTCCTTCTCCAGACCTGGACCGTCGATCTTCCAACCAAACGCTACATTGGTGAAGTCTACCGTGTTTTTCAGGATTGGGCCAGCGCAAGCGAGTACGCAGGCTTCGGGGATCTGGTCCACGAGCTTGGCCTCGTTGAGGAACAGATGACACACCTCGGCGAAGCTGGCATAGTCTTCGTTCAAGTATTTCTTGGAGAACAGCATCGAGCCTGGGGCGATGTCACCCTTGACGTGCTTGGAGTCCTTAGGGATGTTCCACAGCGACAGACGCGTGTTGGTGCCGCCGCAGTCTCCGGACATGATGAGGTCGGTAGCCATGATGCGTAAGTAGTTAGTTGAGCTCGAGACGGTGAGTTTGGAAGCTGACTTGTGGAAGACGCAAAACTTCGTCAGCTAGGGAGCGTGTACGCTAAAGCATTGAAGTTGGTTTGGGCAGTCAGCAGAGGTGTTTCGTGAACAGTACAGTACTGGTCTGGCGCGGCCAATTTTGTAAAATGAAGCTAGTTCTACACATTGACAGCGAACTGTTGTTTTTGAAGCTATGAGGGTTACGAGTGTAACTTGTGTAACCTAGCGCCAGTTATTTTGGCCTCATTTTCTTTTAACCAAAGTGAGTCCCCTACCGTAGCTGTACCATTCATTTTGGCATCATGTCACTAAATGGAGGGGAGAATCTAACGAGGGCCCTTATCTCGCACAAAAAGTACACGGTTGGGAAAGGCAGATGAGTTAGTCAGTAAGTACCAGTTCGTACCAGTTTAAATAAATGTAGACGAGCTGTAGACGAACCACAAAGGTTGTCAAATACAAAGAGTTCACCAATGAGTAATACCGGTCCTCAACGTGTTGTCATCTTACCTCCATCCCAATCTGTGTACGCCTCGCATGACATAGCTGAAGAAGCGTTGCATCAGTAGGTTAAAGATCACGGGTTCAATCTTTCACGTCGCCGAGTTCGGTACACAGACGACGCTGACAGGAAGGTGTGGGCACGGAACTATGAGTGCGATCGCTCCAGAGCCGTGAAGAACACTCAGCACAGACCCGAGAGCGCACCATGCGAGGTTTAAAACGCTCAGGAGCCCATGCGCATTACACTGCATGCTGTCAGCAAGACAGAAACCGACGGGGATTGGAAGGTTGCTCACACGGCACGGAGCGCTCACCATAACCACGAACCGTCCCGGGACATTTGTGATCATGCTGCTGTCAGGCGCCGCTGCTCAAAGATATCAGGAACAAACGTCGGTGACCACGTCAGACCTGGTGAAACTCCAGACTGTAGCAGGAATTGCCGTTTCAACCATTCAAGCCACGCTTGTAAGTGCCGATCCAGACTCTCTTGTGGTCGCCAAAACCATCGCCAACACAAAAAGTGCTACTCGAAGAAGAACGAGAAAAGTATGTCCAGAAAGCACCTAGGCCAAGTAGACGTCGAGAATCCAGCCCCGGGACAGCAAAAAGGGAGAGCTCTGGGAAAACCAATTCCTTGATGGCTACGTTCTATGAAGCGGCGGAGGCAATCTCAGAAGCAGAGTTTGAAGAAAAATGCACGGTCCTTGCCTTAAAGAGCAAGGTGGTGTCAGACTATCTGGATCTGCATTGGTGGAAGTACAAGTCGCGAGTTGTGAGATACTGCACAAGCAAGTACACCCACTTCGGTGTCCGAGACACATCTACAGTCGAGGAAACGCATGCCAAGATCAAAGCCAAATTGAAATCAAGCCAAGGCGACTTGTACACAGTTTTCATGAAGCTGCGTAGATAATGGACAATTGCTGCTTCCGAAACAAGTTTGCTCATGGCTCAACATACAACGATTGCGCCTCAGTTGCTGCAAAAGAGCAGATACAATCGAGCTGTCAGGATTATCACGAGAAACGCTTTGAGAGCCACTGAGAGGTTGTGGATGGATGCGGAGAAAATTGATAATGATCGAATTGAACGTAGTCTTTGGTATGAAAATTTCGTGCTGTCCCTGGCCTTCTTGTCTCCACGAGATTTCTGCAGTCATAGAGTCGAATGGAAGGAAGTACCTCACCCCGGATCATTTCGACAAACACTGGTGGATTTACCGCGACAATAGGACTGCGCCTTCAAGAATTCAAGACCCTGCTACACTGCAACATTGTAGATCTAAGAAAAGCACGCGCAGAACGCGGCTAGCAAACCAAGGTAGTACAGGGGCCGGCCGTGACCCGACATATAGTGAAGCGAATCGACAAAAATCACCCGGCTACACCTCCATTCGAATCATCCTTTATATCAGCGAGGTCGTGGGGGTATGCAGAAAGAGCACCTTACTTAGATCAAAGTGAAGGAGAGAAATATGCGTAAAACATTCGTAATTCCATCAATACATTGTGGATGGCACCGCTAAGCAGCAAACCGCAGAGAAGACAGGTAGTTTTGATATTAAAAAGAAGAATTGTAACGGGAACGCTGTACCAAAGTTGAAAATCTCGACCAATTAAAAACGAATAAACCTAATTTTGTCCAGTCAGGTGGGCTCCTCATCTTCCATCTGTTTAAGATTACCGTACGTCTCAATTCCAAGCGGGGTGTTCCCTCATCTTGTGGACTCGTAGCGAGCTCTGGTGCTTGAACACCTTATCGCACACCTCGCATTTGTACTCACCTTCCTCGTACTCACGTTTCTCGATTTGAGGCTTTGAAGGGAGATCTGAGAGTGGTAGATGTAACGGGAACGCGATTTGTAACGGGAACACGATTTGTAACGGAAACGATTTTTGAAACGGGAATGCTTTTTAATACCTGTACGATACTGGTACTTACTGACTATCTCATCTGCCTATCCCAACCGTGTACATTTTGTGCGAGGGTCCTCCCGATGAGGGCCCTCGTTAGTTTCTCCCTAAATGGAGGTCCTCTAAAGTATCAGCATTAAATCAAATACACCACGCTTTAACTCAGATTTTCCACGTACCAAAGGTGGGACCACCACTGCGTGTACAGTACTGCACCCCGTTTTCGCGTTCTTGGACCTTTGATAAACTTCCGAATGTGATGCTTCAAAATCCAAATGAGCTATAAGTTGTATGCTTAAATCTGATTTATTTGCAAATCCTATATGATCCAACCCCGCGAAAACGGGGTGCAGTACTGTACCGCCTAATTACATATGTTCTTCACTTATCTAGCCCTGGCTTCAATATGTATCAGTTTGGTGTGTTTGACCGCTGCCAATCGTGGTATTGTATTTCGACATCATGTGAAATCTTCCGATTTTATCCTCTTTAGCCAATTAACCTGATATATATAGGTTCATTAACATGTAAGACAATAATGTACCATTTTAAGTCGCTGTCATTATCATTAAGGAAAAACTCTAAATTGGAGGCCGTGATGGTCGGACTTGGAAAGAAGACGCCGGAAGCGGTCCGTGGTGCGTACAGCCTGCACATCAACTGGAGGCCAAGCTGAGACATATCAGCTACTAGCCCTTTGCTTAATAAGGGGGCTCGA